CTTTGCGTGCTAGGGGTGGGAGAGCAACCGAGGGGCAAGGATAGGGCTGGGATTTGTGCAGATTGCCTTTGCACGTGTTTTCCGGATCTCCTAGATGTGGTGAGGCATCAACAGGCTGCTCTGGTATCTATCGGTACAAACTATGGGGATAAAGTTGCTTGAGTTTAAGGTGGGAGAGTGAGAAAGTAGGGTTCCTAAGAAAGCACTGGGGCTGATGGTTGCTAGGATGAGCTCAAGGACTGGGGATATGATATTGAGAGGACATGGGAAGTGCAAGCGGAATGTCTCTAGATGGGGCACAAGGAGGAGAATAGAGTCTGTGTTTCAAACAACAAACTTAGAATTGGCTTAGAATTTGAGAGGACTAGGTTCCCCAGTGCTGGTATGCAGTTTCAAGGTTGGATAAATATTCACAGGCTTCTGGAATGTAAGAAGCCAGAACAGCACGCTCCAGAACTCAGATATAAACCCAAGGCTCCCTTTGTTACCAGTCTAAGAGCATAGTAATATGAGGCAGACAGTGGAGGCAAGTTTAGTAACTTCTGAGCCTTAGTCATCTGCAGTGGAATAGGGTTAACAATATACATCTCATGGGATAGTTAAGGGAATTAAATAAAAGGAATTTATGTAAAGTGTTTAGCATGATGCCTGGGTCATGTTTTCAAAAAATGGTAGCTAAAGAAGATAGTTATAGGGGTCTAATTTATTTTCTGACAAAACAACAGTGCTAGGGTGAGAGATTTATGTGAATGTTGTAGCTGGAAACTATTCTCAGATTCTCAAATCTTTTTGGTGCTTTTCTCCCTATTTCACTGCCCCTAACCTCAGGCAGCAGTTCAGATTCCCTTATTTTTCCCTCTATTCCTCTCCCAAGATCCAGTCCCCTAGCTGGGTCACGTGCTCTGTACCAGTAGATTTCCTCATCCTAGACCCATTCTCCTTCTCCCAGCCCCTCCCCCCCTGCTACTATGGTGACATAAGATTCAGGCACCTAAGGGGGCCTCTGGGAGGAAGCAAAGGTACTGGTCTCTTGCATAACCTGGGCTTCCAATTCCGCCCCTCCCCCGCCCCGCCTTTGTTTGGCACCGGGCCAGCAAATATGTAGTTTGGGAAAAGGGGGAAGCTACAGGAAGAAGAGAAGGGGGAAAGTGGCTGCAAATCTGAAAAAGAAAGCTAGTATGTGTGTTGGGGGGGGACCCCTTCCTCCTAATTGTCTCTCCAGGAATCCTTGGCTTTGGGACAGGAAGGCTGTCTTTGGGCTGGGGGAGGTGCCCAAGCTTGGTGCATGTCCTGGGCCACCAGCCAAGAGTACACGATGTTCCCAAGTGCGCTGGCCACCGCCCTCTCGGGCTGGCCGCTTCCCAAACCGCTGCCTGTCCAGCCTCCCAGCTCCACATTCCCGGCCGCCTGGCCCCGCCTCCTTCCTCCGCTTTGACATCACCACTGTCTCCCGCCCTATCTCCTCCATTGACGGCAGCGGGGCCTGGTTACTGTGGGGACCGTGAGGCAGGACATTCAAGGCCTTGGGAGCAGGTGGGGGCTGCTGGAACGCTAGCCTGTTGTCTTTGGAAAAGATAGATATGGAGGTGGAGTTGGGAGGGCAAGGCCTGCCGGTGTCAGGAGAGACTGAGGGCAGGTTGGGGAAAGAAGATCATGCCTAAATCCCTAAGGAGAGCTGCAGAGGAAGAAAAAGGATGTTTCTAGGGAAGAGGTGTCTGAAAATGACACAAGGGACAGACGAGGGGGAGCAGTAAGTATGTGAATTGGGGGAAACATTTTCAGAGAGGGACTGAGCATGCAGGCTCCTGGATTCTTTGTTGTCCTGTTTTCCTGCTTTGGTCTTTCTGGGTTATTTTGTAACATCTGTGTATGGCAGTTTTCCTACTGAGTCCTCCTTTGAGCCCCACCCCAAGGAGAACACCATTGTTAAGGAAAGCTTAAGCCATGTGACAGTGAGCGGGAGAGTTCCCACAGCTGATGATGTCAGCAGCAGTTTGGGGGCCTCTTCATTGCCGCCCACATCCAGGGAGCCCTGAGAGGTACTACTCATCACTGCCACTACAGTTAAGTTGATTCCCACTCACAGCGACCCTCACAGGGCAGAGTAGAACTGCTCCAGAACTCGGGTTTGGGAAACTGTGAATCTATATGGGGGTAGACAGCCCCATCTCTCTCTTTCAGAATGGCTGGTGGATTAGCAACCCAATGCTTAATGCTCTGTGCCACCAAGGCTCCTTCTACTCATCACTGTCCTAGAAATCAGGTGGGAGAGGCTGTGTAATGAAGCTTTTCTGGGCCCAGCCTGGCATTTTATTCACCCCAATCAAACCCCTGTTCTTTCTAGGCTGCAGTGCTCTGTTCCCCTCCACTTAATTTTTTTTTAAATCCAGCCCCTTCTCCATTGCTGAGACTCTTTCCCGTATTACTATTTCTTCTTCTTAACGACAATATGATCACCTACCATGTGCCAAGTTCTGACCTGGGTGCTGGGGATACAGGGAATGAAACAGATATGGCCTCTGCTGTGTCACCCACCATTCTGTGCCCAGGGCCCAATTAGCTTCTTCTTCCAGCCACCCCCACTAACTGGTAACTCTGGCTTCCTTGTGCCCACTTTTGGAGCAGCCCTAACGGTGGGTGGCTACGTCTGCAGAAGAGAAGCTCTACACTAGACACACTTAGGCAGCCCTGAAGACCTTTTCTCTGATTGGTTACACAGCTCTTGCCATGGTTTTCCTTTCAGAGGCTTCAATTGGCTCTATCTGGCCCTTTCATTGTTTATCCCCATGCGTCACATGTGGACACTCAATTTACCCTCTTCCCAGCTGTGGGCAGGATTTCAAGTGTAAGAGGAAGGAGTTCGGTAAAGGGGCATCTGCAATATGATGGCAAGGGTCAGGAGGGAAATCCAGGAAAGGCCAAGCCAGGTTTCTGTCTCTCTCTCTCCCCGCAGTCCCCAAGGAACCAGCCTTCTCCTTCAACATGGCCCTCCTCCAGGGTCTACATTCCTTTCCCTCAGCCCTGGCAAGACCAAGGTGTCCTATTATGCAAGGCTGGACAGTCCAGGAAATAGACGTTTCTTGAACACCTACTGTGGGCCAGACATTTTTCTTACAGAGAGGCAGCTTAAATCCCCTCGTTTCCCTTTCATTATTCCCTGTGCAAGGCGTCCTGCGCCCATTGGTTGGGCGGTGTCTCTCGGGCTCTTCAGCGGGTGCCAGCACCCAGATCCACGTGCGCCCGTGTGTGTGACACAGCCCTGACCTCAGTGGGGACCAGTAGCCAATCAGATGCTGAGATGGGATCCCCAGCCAATCGGGGGCGGGGCCTGCGGTTCTGCCGGCCGGGGGCCAATCGGGGGCAGTGTCTGGCATTATGCAACCCGCCTCCCGGCCCCGCAGAGCTTTTACTCCGATGCGAGCTGGAACGGTGGCAGGCAGGCAGCTAGAAGGGAGCTCGTGCGGCCAGGTAGGCATTTTGGGGGCCACTCTAGAGTCGGTTTCTGACCCAGAGTCTTATCTTTGTCCTCCAACTCACCCGGCACACAAATCCTTCCTTGCCTCTGCTCACCGCTTATTTGCTCATGGGGACTTAGGTGTTCTTCCTCAACCCCCTGCACTGCATGTCTGCACCCCTGACTGGCTTACCTTTCTCCAGTTTTGCTTGTCCATCTTCACCCTCCCACCCCCAGCCCCCTGCCTCCAAACCCTCCTGACCCCACACTCGATCCTCTGCGTAATGTCCCCTGTTTCTTTCCTTGTCACTGGGGGTCCCAGATTTTGCCCGGCACCAGGACCCCTTCAGACTTTTGGCACTCCCCGCCCTACCCCCTCCAATCTCTGGCCAGGTGCCGCCGGTCGTGATGTCAGCCCGGTTCGGACTGGAACATCCCGTTCTCGGTGCTAGTTCCTGTTGTTGGCCACAGCCTTCCCTTTTCTCCTGGCGCTCAGAAAATGCTCTGGGGTGGGGGTGTGCTTGGATGGGGAGCTAGGGGAGAATAATTATCCTCTGATTGTTGTGTGGGCCTCTGCTCAGGGCTGAAGGTGTCTGCTTTGCACTGGGAGGTGGGAGGCAACATGAGGCCACAAAACTAGGGGCCACAGGTGTGGAATCCTGGGTACTTGTCGACTACAGGTGCGGGCGTCGCCCCTAGGAAGCGAGGAGGTGGGGGGCAGAGGCCAGAAATGACTGAGGCCCTGGGCAAGAGCCAGGCTGGGAGGCTTTTGCGAGACAGTTGTGTTTCGCCTTGAGGGGCCCAGGGACAGCCCTCAGAACCCCAGTGGGACGCTCCTCTTCATACTGCTGCTGGGCCGTCTAGGGCCTGGGGTATGTCAGGGGTGGACGACCCCTAACTGGTCCTAACTGCCAGTGTTGGAGTCGGTCGTTCCTCCCACCCCAACCCTTCTTCCGCCAGGAAATGGGGGAGGGTCGTCCCTCCCGTTCTCTTGCGGTCCCTCCAGCAACCGCTGAGCTCAGCCGCTGACGTCGGTTTCCCTGGCGACCGCGGTGGCGGCGGTGGCGGAAGCGCGTGGTGGGGCCGCGCATGTCAGCGCGCATGTGCAGCGAGGGTGACACCGCCCCCGGATAAAATTAGTCTGGAGGCCTAAATATAGGAGGCTGCAGGCTCACCCTTGCTCTGCGGCCTTAGAGCCCTGGTAGAGTGAGGGCCTAAGACAGCTTGGGGCTGGGAAGTGTCCAGTTTAAGACACGTAACTGTAGACCACCTAGTCGACTGCTTACCTCTACTTATTCAGGCCACGCAGTAGATGATGTGGAGGAAGGCCTAAAGGAGGCACTTTCCTACCTGCAGCAACCCCCACATGGACAGGAAATAAACCTTACTCTGGCTCTATTTCAAGCCCCAGCCCTGAGTCTTACGAGTGGGAGGGCAAGCAGAGGAGAGTGTGAGTGAAGCCAGCAGGTGCTGTGAGTTTAGCAGCCTGGTTTACTCCAAATTTTCCTTCCTGGTTTCCCTTTCTAGGTACTGGCTGTGATCAAACTGCTCAATTCTCAAAGACTTAGGTTTCCCGCCTCACTCCCTCAGTCAGGCCTCCTGGCCCCCTTGTGCATCCGTAGTGGCCTCTCCACCATCCCTTTTCTTCTCTTGTCCTCCCCATGGCCCAGACATGAGTGGACCCCTAGAAGGGGCTGAGAGGGGAGGGGATCCCAGGCCTGGGGATGCCTTCTGTTCTGGAGGGTCCCCATCCCCTGGGCCCTCACAGCACCGACCTTGCCCAGGCCCTAGCCTGGCTGATGACACAGATGCTAATAGCAATGGCTCAAGCGGCAATGAATCCAACGGTCCTGAGTCTAGGGGTGCATCTCAGCGGAGCTCACATAGCTCTTCCTCTGGCAATGGCAAGGACTCAGCCCTGCTGGAGACCACTGAGAGCAGCAAGAGGTGTGTAAGGGTGTGTGTTGCTGGGTTTGGGAGCAATCTTGTGAGCAGACTGAACTTCCCACACTGCCGACCTCCTTCCCCTCATGTGGGCCCATTGTTTCTTCCCTAGCACAAATTCTCAGAGCCCATCCCCACCCAGCAGTTCCATTGCCTACAGCCTTCTAAGTGCCAGTTCGGAGCAGGATAACCCATCTACCAGTGGCTGCAGGTTCGTTGGCTTAGCAGAGAGGGCTGGGGTTCTGGGCCAGGCCCTGGGGTAACATTGGTCACTCTCTTTCCCATCTGGCCCTGCAGCAGTGAACAGTCAGCCCGAGCGAGGACCCAGAAGGAACTCATGACAGCGCTGCGGGAGCTCAAGCTTCGACTGCCACCAGAGCGCCGGGGCAAGGGCCGCTCTGGGACCCTCGCTACACTCCAGTACGCACTGGCCTGTGTCAAGCAGGTGCAGGGTGAGTGGTGCTTCCAATGAAGGCAGTGGCCAGGTAATGGGCTGGTGGATCTGCCCCTAACTCCCTCATACGCACACAGCCAACCAGGAATACTACCAGCAGTGGAGCCTGGAAGAGAGTGAGCCGTGTTCCATGGACATGTCCGTCTACACCCTGGAGGAGCTGGAGCACATCACGTCTGAGTACACACTTCGAAACCAGGTTAGTAGCGCCCAACCTCTCCATCCTGACACACCTCAGCACCACTCTCTGCACTCCTAAACCTGTTCTTGCTCTCATCCTCCTGCCCAGGATACCTTCTCGGTGGCAGTCTCCTTCCTGACAGGCCGCATTGTCTACATTTCGGAGCAGGCAGGGGTCCTGCTTCGTTGCAAGCAGGATGTGTTCCGGGGCGCCCGCTTCTCAGAGCTCCTGGCACCCCAGGATGTGGGCGTGTTCTATGGTTCCACTGTTCCATCTCGCCTGCCCACCTGGGGCACTGGGGCCTCAGCAGGTGAGATGCCTAGGGACGTGGTGGGGAGGAAGGAGCAGTCCTAGGGTGAGAAGCTAGGGTTTAGGCTCCCTTGCTGGGTTCTTCTCAGCCTGGGGGGAGTGGACGACTGTGTTCACCACCCTTTTGGTCTGTCCCAGGTTCTGGCCTCAAGGACTTCACCCAGGAAAAGTCTGTCTTTTGCCGTATCAGGTAGGTGGGAGGTGGTGGGAGCAAGTTCTTCCCTCCTCTCACCCCGCTCCTCCCATTCCTTTGCCTCTTCTGTGAGCTTGGACTCTGAGATTGGAGGCGTGGATGGGTGTACATTGAAAGTTCCTTGTCTCTTTTCCCTTGCTAGTGGAGGTCCGGACCGGGATCCAGGACCTCGGTACCAACCATTCCGCCTGACTCCATATGTGACCAAGATCCGGGTCTCGGATGGGGCCCCCACACAGCCATGTTGCCTACTCATCGCAGAGCGCATTCACTCGGGTTATGAAGGTGGGCTGACCCTGGACTTGCCCTGGTGAGGGTGTATGGGATGGATATCTTCTCTAGGTTGGGAGAGAGGAGGGAGCTAGGCCTGGGAAGCATTCCTTACCCTTAGAATTTTGGGACAGAAGATATTCTATTGCATAGGATCTGAGCCCTCTTAGATATAGAGTTGGCTGAGAGCCCCAAGCTGGAGAGGGTAAAGAAGAGTGTTTTGGTTTTTGGTTCTACTTGGTTCTTGGTACAAGGTTTAAGAATGTTCATACCATCTCTGTAGGCATAGGCCCAAGACAGAATGGAGAGCTAAGGAGCTAGACCATTCTGGGTGAAACCTAATGGCCATATCTTCTCTGCCTCAGCTCCTCGGATCCCTCCTGACAAAAGGATTTTCACTACTCGGCACACCCCTAGCTGCCTCTTCCAGGATGTGGATGAGAGGTGAGGACAGGACCCAGAGGTAAGGGGGTTGGCCAGGGCTGGGACCATGGCCGCTCTAATGCTTCTTCTCATTTCAGAGCCGCCCCACTGCTGGGCTACCTACCGCAGGACCTCCTAGGGGCCCCTGTGCTCCTATTCTTACATCCTGAGGACCGGCCCCTCATGCTGGCCATCCACAAGAAGAGTGAGTTCCTCTTACCCTGCTGTTTCCCCACTGGTACCCGGGGCTTCTTAATAATTGCCCTTGTGTTGGGTGTTGGTGTCTTGGTCTCCTGGACCTCTAGTGGGTGACTTCACCTTACCCGGTTCTCCCTTTCACTGACTCTCCATCTCATTTCCCACTCCTACCAGTTCTCCAGTTGGCGGGCCAGCCCTTTGACCACTCTCCTATTCGCTTCTGCGCTCGTAATGGGGAGTACATCACCATGGACACAAGTTGGGCCGGCTTTGTGCACCCCTGGAGTCGCAAGGTGGCCTTTGTATTGGGGCGCCACAAAGTACGCACGTAAGTGGGTCATGCAGGATAGGGTGGGATTGTGCAAGAGGAGGCAGGACTGAGTATAAGACTAAACTCATCCTTCCCCACCCACAGGGCACCCCTGAATGAGGATGTGTTCACTCCTCCGGCCCCCAGCCCAGTTCTCTCCCTGGACCCTGATGTCCAGGAGCTATCAGAGCAAATCCACCATCTGCTGTTACAGGTAAGAGTTGAGAGGAGGCCGCCTAGGGGTGAGGAAGGGCTGGGGAATAGGGCTATAGAGATCTAATCTGTCTGCCCCTCTCTGTCTCAGCCTGTGCATAGCCTCAGTCCCACGGGGCTCAGTGGAGTCGGTCCTGTGACTTCCCCAGGCCCTCTCCTCAGCCCTGGCTCCTCCAGTGATAGCAACGGAGGTGATGCTGAGGGACCTGGGCCTCCTGCCCCTCCCCCTGTGAGTGACCCTTTCTTAAACTCCTCCTCTCGGTTTCCCCTTCCCCTATCCATCTCTGCTTCTGCCTTGCCAATTCCAGAGAAGCTTTGCCTCTTTGCTTTGTCTCCCCTTTCTCCTCTTCCCCTTCCCACTTGGTGACCCCCTGTGCTGGTACTTTGTTACTTGCCCTCGGCCCCTGATGCTACCCAGTCCTCCCAATTTTGCCTGATGCCCTGCTGTGTCCCCCAGGTGACCTTCCAGCAGATCTGTAAGGACGTGCATCTTGTGAAGCACCAGGGGCAGCAGCTTTTTATTGAGTCTCGGGCCCGACCTCCACCCCGGCCCCGCCTCCCTGGAGTTGGTGAGGTTTTCAGTGTTCTGTACTGAGTGACCTGGGGGATCCCTGATCTTCACCCCAAGCCATTCATCTTTCCTCTCTTTGCTTCAGCTACAGGTACTTCCAAGGCCAAGGCCCTTCCCTGCCAATTCCCAGACCCAGAGCAGGAGGTGGCACCTGCCCCAGGACTCCATGCCCCACTAGCTTTGGTCCCTGAGGAGGCAGAGAGGAAAGATGCCTCTACCTGCTCCTACCAGCAGATTAACTGCCTGGACAGCATCCTCAGGTAAGGCCTGCCTGGCATCTCTGTCATTGGGCCCTGCCCCTGGCCCACCCCAGGCCTTGCCTGCCTTCAGCCCACCCCAGGCCCTGCCTTCATGCTAATGTGGTGCAACTCCAGGTACCTGGAGAGCTGCAACATCCCCAGCACAGCCAAGCGCAAGTGTGCCTCCTCCTCCTCCTGCACCGCCTCCTCTGCCTCCGATGACGACAAGCAGAGGACAGGTTCCATCTCTGTGGGGGCCAAGAAAGGTAATGACCCAATGCATGCTCCGATCCCACTCCCCCAGGGGGCCTTGTGTTGCCACACTTCTGCCTTTGGGGTCCCTACCTTGCTCTGCCCTGCCCCCCTCCCAAGCCTCCTGTTCGCCACCCTCCACCTCCTGCCAGCCCGTCCACCTCCTCCCTGGGGTCCCTTCTCCTGCCCTTCCTTTGGAGGGGGGGATGGTAACTGGCACCATCTCTCTGCACAGATCCATTGGCGGCAGTGCTGTCTGGGGAGGGGGCCGCCCCGCGGAAGGAGCCAGTAGTGGGAGGCACCTTGAGCCCGCTCACCCTGGCCAATAAGGCGGAGAGCGTGGTCTCCATCACCAGTCAGTGTAGCTTCAGCTCCACCATCGTCCATGTGGGAGACAAGAAGCCCCCGGAGTCGGGTATGGGTATGGAGTAAGGGGGGCAGTGCCCGGGCATCAGTGGTCCCTCAGCCAGAGCTCTCCCATCTGCCTTCCCATCTCCCTTTGGGGCTATGCTTCTTGCTTTCCACCCCTGCTATCCTTTCCTGCTTTGCCTTTTCCCCATCCTACTTTTTGTATTGCTACTGGGTAAAGTACATAGAGGCTGGGTGCAGGGTTCAGCTTCAGACTGCTGCCCACAGAGATTCTGTAGGAATGCTGAGTGCCCCTTAAAGTGGCAGGGTCTTTGGGTGAGGGAAAATGAGTAAGGGAAGGTCAGGGGGTGGGCTTCTTCCCTTTCAACAAGAAGAATAGAGGTGTCATCTCAGGGAGGACTTCCTCGCAAGGTAGCAGTCACTGGAGAAAACAGTATCATCTTCTCCTCCTGGGACAGCTTGTGTAGAAGAGAGGGCCCTGGGCCAGCATCCCTTGGCAAGGAGGTGACCAAGAAATGGATGTCGAGTTCAGGGCCAGGGATTGGCTAGTGTGTTGGATAGGGAGGGAATGGTGTAGGTGTATTGAGCCCTGAGGTGACCTTCCCTCATCTCCTCTTCCTCAGACATCATCATGATGGAGGAACTGCCTGGCCTGGCCACGGGCCCAACCCCTAGCCCAGCTCCCAGCCCCACAGTGGCCCCTGACCCAGCCCCAGATGCCTACCGCCCAGTGGGCCTGACCAAGGCCGTGCTGTCCCTGCACACACAGAAGGAGGAGCAGGCCTTCCTCAGCCGCTTCCGGGATCTTGGCAGGCTGCGTGTACTGGACAGCTCCTCCATGGCACCATCGACCCCTGGCGAGCGAGGTAGCCACCCAAGACCTCCCTAAACCTGCTTTCTGCTCATTCTAGGACTAGACTGTTGGGGGCGTTAGGGGGCTTCAAGGAAATGTTTCCACATCAAGGATTCAGGCTGATGCTATCACAACCAGCAGAGCCCTGCCTAGGGACAGACTTCTTGCTAGCCTCTTAGTGCTAGGTTGCGGTTCTAGGGCTGACTGGGGGCTGACACTGAGGCAGGTAGACAGAAGTGCCCTGCTCAACCCTTGCTGGGGCAGGGGCAGGAAGTTCTCACTAAGACCCAGTTGCTGATTAAGAGATTCGCATAGACTCTGAGTCAAAGGCAGGCAAAGAGGACTGGGCCAACACCCCGAGGGTGGATGGAAGGTGTCCTCTGCAGGTGGTTGCAGGACTGGGCTTTTCTGCCCCTCTGCCTTCCACCCACTCTTCACTGGTCAAGAACTAGACAGAGCATGGCCTCAACCGGCAGAAGGTAGCGCTCAGGCGGGCAGTGCCAATGTGACTTTGGTGGATGGACCAGAGCCACCTGCCTCTTCATCTATGGACCCACGCTGACTCCTCCCATCTGCCAGTGTGCCTGTTTACTGCACGCTCCCATGACCCCTCATGTAACCTTTCCATTCTCAATAAACCCCCCTGTCCCTGTCTCCTGTGATTCTTCCCTGAAGGTTCCCTCACCTCCTTACATCTCTTCTGGGCTGAGAGGCCAAATAGTATGTGGGGCCTTTGCCTGTCTCCTTCCCTGGTCAATGTCAGGGCAGCTTCCCATTAGGCTGAGGTCCTCACTAACCCTAGTCTCTCCCCACAGGCTGCCACCATGGCCCCGTCCCCCATGGCCGGCGACACCACTGCCGATCCAAAGCCAAGCGCTCACGCCACCACCAGACCTCCCGGCCCGAAGCCCCCTGCTATGTCTCCCATTCCTCACCTGCACCACCATCTGCCCCCTGGCCCCCGCCATCAGCCACTACTCCCTTCTCAGCTATGGTCCAGCCCTATCCTCTCTCAGTATTCTCCCCCAGGGGAGACCCTCAATCTCTGCCCCCTACCCCTACTTCTGTGCCCCCTACTGCTTTCCCTGCCCCCCTAGTAACTCCAATGGTGGCCTTGGTGCTCCCTAACTATCTGTTCCCTAATCCCTCCAGCTATCCCTATGGAGTACCCCAGACCCCTGCTGAGGGGCCTCCCACCCCTGCCTCCCATTCCCCTTCTCCGTCCTTGCCCCCGCTACCCCTCAGCCCTCTCCACCGTCCAGACTCGCCGTTATTCAATTCAAGATGCAGCTCCCCTCTCCAGCTAAATTTGCTGCAGTTTGAGGAGCCCCCACGTGCTGAAGGGGGTGCTGTTGCAGGAGACCCTGGGATCAGTGCTGGGCCCCCCCCTCCCAACGAGGAGGTTTTGGAGCCAGAGGGCAGACTGGTAAGCATGCCCCCCTCAGCCGTCACTGCCCTCTAACACCGGCACCTACCATGGGGCTACTCTAGTCTGTCACCCACCTTGCTCTTCCCGACTCCCTTTCTCCCTGCCTTTTGTCTGGTTGCTGTCTTAATTTCTTAAGAAATGGTGTTGCAAGTTGGGACTCTGGTGGAAATCAGCTGCTGTATCTGTGAAGTGGGGATAATCCTGTCAATTTGACAGTTGTCAAGGACATCTCAAAACTTCGGAGAGTCCATCTGCTCCTTTGGAGGAGGCCGATGTCATGCCTCTGTGTCTCCACAGCTATCTTCTCTCTCATCCTGTCATGGACTAGGGAACAGGGACCACTTGGGTTGGTGCCCCCATTGCCAGCGGAAGCAGTTGAGAAGCCTAGGTGTTGATCCCTTAAATACTCCTTGTCACCCTTCTCCAGGTGGAGGTGACTGAGTCCTCCAATCAGGATGCACTGTCGGGTTCCAGTGACCTGCTGGAGCTGCTGCTACAAGAGGACTCACGCTCAGGCACAGGCTCTGCTGCCTCGGGTTCCTTAGGCTCTGGCATGGGCTCTGGGTCTGGTTCAGGCTCCCACGAGGAGGGCAGCACCTCAGCCAGCATCACTCGTGAGTGCCCAAGGGCAGGCCAGTGACTGGGGAGTCGGGAGGCTAGGCCTCATCTTGGCCGAGCAGCATGGGCATGTGACCTTTGAGGGGGAGACCTTCTAAGGCTCCAAAGTGGGGTGGGGAATGCTGGCCTTCCTGACTGTGCCTGCCTCCCTTCACAGGCAGCAGTCAGAGCAGCCACACAAGCAAGTACTTCGGGAGCGTGGACTCTTCTGAGGCTGAGGCAGGGTCGGCCAAGGGCAGGACTGAGCCTGGGGACCAGGTCATTAAGTATGTGCTTCAAGATCCCATCTGGCTGCTCATGGCCAACGCTGACCAGCATGTCATGATGACCTACCAGGTGCCCTCCAGGTGAGGAGTTCCAGAGGTCCCCTCTGCCCTCGCTTCACAGTTGGTGGGGAAGCTAGCCTGCCCTCACTTCCCAGCTGAACTTGGGTTTTTCCTCTTCGGGGCTGGCTTTGCCCTAGGATTCCCTTCCTACTCCTGGTTCATTGGAGGCCCATGGCTAGTTCCTTTCAGGGTGAGGGAAGTTTTTCTGTCTCTGAGCCCTGGTTCCGGGAGGAGTGGAGGGTAGTGGGTGGGGAGTTTTGTTGGCAGAAGAAGAATCTATGCCAAATTCTTGAGTCCTGGCCCGAGTTCTGACATCTAGCCTCGGTACTTCTTTCCTGGATAGGGACATGGCCTCTGTGCTGAAGAAGGACCGAGAGCGACTCCGGGCCATGCAGAAGCAGCAACCTCGTTTCTCAGAGGACCAGAGACGGGAATTGGGTGCTGTGCACTCCTGGGTCCGGAAGGGCCAGCTGCCTCGCGCCCTTGATGTGATGGTGAGAGGAAAAGTCCAGACCGGGGAGAGAGAAGAAAGAATTAAACTCGCATAGAAAAGGATATAGTCCCAGGACAGATCCTAACGTGAATTCTGAAATTAGTTAATGCCACTAAGCTTGCTGCTGATTGATGTCGTGTTAAACCACATGAGTTTTTGTAGGACTTCTCTGAATCTACCTGTGCTCATTGTAACTGTCCCTACAGTGGGCCTATAGTGGGTCTGGGTATAGGGTACAAAGCATTTTCCAATCTTGCTGGACACCAGAGGCCTCTTTCCAATGTATATCTATGTGGACTGGGGTTTCTTGGGAGTGTATTTTGGGAGCACCTTTGGGCTGGGGGTGAAGCTGAAGCCAGGCACTAGTGGGTCAACAGTGAAGACCCTGCTTGACTCCCTTGTCCCCTTTCTTCCTTCACAAGGCTTGTGTGGACTGTGGTAGCAGCACCCAAGACCCAGGCCATCCTGATGACGCACTTTTCTCGGAGCTGGATGTACTGGGGCTGGAGCCCATGGAAGAAGGCGGAGGCGAGGGTGGTGGTGGTAGTGAGGGCAGAGGAGGCGTGGGAGAGGGTGGAGGTGAGGTTGGAGCCAGGGTTTCAAGCTCTCAGGACTTGGCCATGGAGGAAGAGGAACAAGGTGAGAGCTCATCCAGTTCAGCCTTACCTGCCCCAGAAAACGGCACCAGCTAGACTCTACTTGGGGGTCACTCTGGGAGTCTAGAAGAGGCTTCCTTCCTCTATGTCCCAAGTCTCAGAACTCATGTGGCCGGACCAACCAATAGGAAACTGCCCAGCTTTACCTGTTGTAGGGGGCCGGACCCCCGTCACCAGCCCAGGGGCTGCCTCCTGGACTCTTAGGGAACAGAGAATGTGGAACTCAGCCCAGCCCAGAGGAACCTCAATTCCCTCACCCTGGTGAAGAGTCATCTCTCCAGGATAAGGTTGCTGCCAAGCTGCTGAAGTGGTCTCTCCAAATTCCAGCTGAGCCCAAGTCCCTGTCCCTGAGGGTTGGGGATGCACTTATTTATTGGGGGAGACAGGCCTCTCTCCCACCTCCTCATAAGCCAGAGGGAAGGAAGAGAGGAGAAGGAGGGCCTAAGGCCCAAGCAGGACCCCTGGGGTTCAGACCCCTAGCTGCTCCAGTGTGGGGGAGGTTGGTGGACCATGGAGTCCCTGGTGCTGCCCCTCAGATGGGACCCAGTGTTCTCAGCTGTACCCTCTACCAATGGCATTTGTGTTTTTGATAATTGTGTCTGTTATTTTTTAATACAAAAAGAAAAAAACAAAACAGGACTCTGTGGAATAAAGTTTGGTGGTTGGGCAAGGGGAAACTATGGATGCTGTAAGATCACCTGTCTGCCCAGAAGGCTGTGAGGGTGGGCTATTCCATTTCCTGATGGCCCCCATTCCTTTTCTCCCCACACTTTGCAGCTGAAGGCCATTCCTTAGCCTGCTAGATCTACAGCTAACTCAAACCCTACACATCAAAACAGTTCTGCAGCTGGGTTTACACTTTCAAGGAGAATATGAGAAGCAACTTGTAGCCAAAGGCTTCTGCGAGCTCCAAACATGGGCTACAGGCAGGAGAGGCCCCTCGTTTAGCCATCTGGGTGTTCTGTTCTGAGGCAGTAGAAAGTCTAGCTTCTTCAACACAGGAGAGGGCTCTTAAGGTCAACCTTGGTGTCTAAGAAACAAAGAACGTGAGTGAGGTAGTGTGACCATTCATAATCAATGTTGGTCTCCAAAAGTGTCGGAGAAGGAACAGTGGGTGGGGCGCGTTAACACTGCAAGAATTATTCAAATCCCCTGTACAGGCACTCATTATCAGCTGATCTATCCCTAGACGCACCCCATGATCTGCCGGCGCCGTGGCTTAGCTGGTTAAAGCGCCTGTCTAGTAAACAGGAGATCCTGGGTTCGAATCCCAGCGGTGCCTGCACTAACATAAAGAAGTATATTATTGCTGCGGAGAGAACGCGTTTCCATTCCTGAAGGTTGTGCCTGTTGAAAAATTCTTCTTACCAAACCAGTCCCTATATGAACTTGCGTATCTGTGCACTTTTAGAAGGTAACCAGTCCCTGTATGAACTTGCGTATCTGTGCACTTTTAGAAGGTTTCCTCTTGAAGACCAAGACTCATGATGAAGTGGGCGCTCTTTCTCTCTCAACCATACGGCGGCTCGTATTTGAGATAATTTTGTTAGTGCCGTGTAGAGAGAGCAGTAAGGCTGTCATGGCTGCGGAAGCTGATACTTAAGCACTATTAGCGCCGCTGAATGTAAGCGCGCACGCGCACAGAAATTTCAAGACAGCACGGCAGGGTTCCGGGAGGCGGGCACGTTGATAGGCAGCTATAGTTGCGCAGGGCCGAGGCCGCACGCGGCTGTGATGGCCGAGTGGTTAAGGCGTTGGACTCGAAATCCAATGGGGTCTCCCCGCGCAGGTTCGAATCCTGCTCACAGCGGTCATACATTTTTTTTTTTATTAGATATTCTTTCTGTGGGGATAAAAGGGAACTCTTTTTGTACTGTTTTCTTCCCTTGGAGAGCCTCCCCTCCTCCCTTTTTTTAAACTCTCAAAGATCCAAATATGCTCAGCCATCCGGGACCGACCTGCGAGCGCCCTCTTGTGGGCTTCTGCCAATCCCGTCTTTGCAGTTTGTGTCGTTCTGCAAGCCTTTTTGCTACTAATTTTAATTTTTAACTCCACCAAATTCAGATGATTCCTTAGTGGTTTTTGGCAGTCATTAACCTTCCGGGTGTGGTGCTGTAGGATCAGCACTGAACTGAGAACCACAGTTCAGCAGTTCAAATCCACCAGCTGCTCCACGGAAACCCTACACAAGGTCGCTATGAGTCGAAACGGACTAGATGTCGGCACTTAACAACAACAGCAACCTTCCCATACTTCGTGTTTACGTAGGAAAATTAAGTATAACATAAAGTTTCCCAAACATTCTCTTTCTTTTCCTCATTACTATAAATGAGCCGTTCCATCTAAGACAAACTTCTATGCTTACTAGAACAAAGGTTCCACTCATGAACATTGCTTTCCCTCTACTGAAGTATCCATTTCCCCCTCTATTGGATTGTTTCCCTTCCCCCTTCCAGGTACCACTCCAGTTTCTCTGCTTCCCTTTACCACAAAACAAGTTATCTATACCGCTCCTCGGAAACCCTATACAGGGTCGCTATGGGTCGGAATCGACTCGACAGCACTGCACAACAACCAATTCCATGTTTCCATTCTCCCTTTCTAATCAGAGTGTTCTCTCGCCCTCCAATCAAATCTGCTCTTGTTACCAAATAATTATCACATTCCTTAATCCACTGAGCAGCAGTAGACACACATGATTACTTTCTCCTATAAACACAGCTCTGTTCAGTGAAAGAGTTTAGAAGTAATGACACACCAGTTAGCAAGGAGCACAGCAAATACCTAAATCTTGGTTACTAAATACCGTTCTCTACTAAAATTAACCAGGGTTCCTTAAAGCAAGTGACTGACTGTGGCTGGGACTTGGATATTGCAAAATGATCTTGGAACATTTTGTTGCACCAGAAAGTAAAGCAGTGCTCAAATATTCTTGGCTATATGGGAAAAAAGCCACAGCAGTTATCTTGAAAAGGTTCTCATTGACTAAATCTGGGACAACTTAAGCATTAAATGAAATAATGAGGAAATTTTAATACATCATTTTTGATGAAGGGCAGAGCAACTAGAAAGAGACTCAACAAAGATACAGAAGAACTAAACAACACAATCAAACACCTGGACGTCATATACACATACAGAGCACTCTACCCAACAACAGCACAATATATATTCTTTTCCAGTGCACATAAAACATTCTCCAAAATAGATCATCTGTTAGGCCACAAAGTAAGTCTCAATAAATTTAAAAAACATCAAAATACTACAAAGCATCAAATTGAACAACACCTTGCTTAAAAGCTACTGGGTAATAGATCAAATAAAAAATGAAAAAAAAAAATCCTCATTAAATGAGAATGAAAAAACAACTCACCAAGACTTGGGACACAAAAAAAGCAATACTCAGTGGATAATTTATAGCAATAAACGCACACCTCCCCAAAGAAGAAAGAATCAAAATCAAGATTTTAACCAAATATCTCCACCAATTAGAAAAAGAGCAGTAAAGTAAGCCTACTGTCACCAGAAGAAAATAAATAATAAAGGTTAGAGCAGAAATAAGTGAAATAGAAAAACAATAGAAAGAATCAACAAGACAAGTTGGTTCTTTTAAAGGATTAATAAGATCAACAAACCATTGGCCAATCTAGAAAAAGAGAGAAGATACAGGTAACATTAATATGAAATTATATGGGACGTCATGACAGAACCAATGGAAATACAAAGGATAGTAACAGAAAACTATTTAGAATTGTACTCCAACAAATTTGAAAACCTAGAAGAAATGGACATTTTTAGAAACACAAGACCTACCTAAACTAACACAGGCTGAAATAGAAAACTTGAACAGGCCTATAACTAGAGAAAGACACTCTAATAGTGTAGTGGTTATGAGTTGGGCAGCTAATCTCTCAGTCAGGCTGCTAATCTCACAGGTCAGCTGTTTGAAACTACCAGCCGTTCTGTGGAAAAAAAACTAGGCTTTCTGCTCCTGTAAAGATTTACAGCCTTGGTAACACTATGAGTCAGAACTGACTCCATGGCACATAACCACCACCACCATAACAAGAGAAGAAATAGATCAAGTCAAAAAAACCTCTTAACTAACAAAAGCCCAGACTCAGATGGCTTTACTAGTGAATTCTAACAAATATTCAGAGAAGGGCTGAGACCACTTCTACTCAAACTATTCCATAATATAGAAAAGGATGGAAAATTCCCAAATTAATTTTATGACATAAGCGCAACTCTGATACTAAAACCAGGCAAAGACATCACAAAGAAAGCATATTATGGACCAATATCTCTAACATTGAAGCAAAAATTCTCAACAAAATACAATCCAAAATATATATATATTTTAAAATGCATCATGATCAAATGGGATTCATGCCAGGTATGCAGGTATGGTTCAATATTAGTAAAACAGCCAATGTAATTCACCACATAAATAAAACAAAGGGAAAAAGAAATCACATCATCATATCAATTGATGCAGAAAAGGCAACTGACAAAATCCAACACTCATTCCTGATAATAACTCTCAACAAAATAGGAACAGAAGGAAAATTCCTCAATATAATTAAGGGCATATATACAAAACCAACACTCAACATCACTCTCAACAGTGAGAAACTGGTCATTCCCCTGGTGAACAGGAACCAGACAAAGATACCCTTTATTACCACTCCTGTTCAGCATTGTGCTTGAAGTCTTAGCCAGAGCTACAAGGCAAGAAAGGAAAATTAAAGGCATTCAAATTGGCAAAGAAGAAGTAAAAGTCTATCTTCAGATGACATGATTTTATACTTAGAAAATCCCAAAGACACTGCAAGAAAATTATTGGAACTCATTGATAGATTTGGCAAAGTGGCAGGGTACAAGATCAACATACAAAAATCAGTTGGATTCCTTTACACTAATAAAGAGAGCTCTGAAAAGGACATCAAGAAAAAAAAAATAGCATTTATAATAGCCACCCAAAAGATGACAATAGTTAGAAATAACCAGAGAAACAAAAGACCTATACAAAGAAA